ATCAACAACCCTTCCCTTCCCCTTCCCTTCTCTTCTCCCTTCCCCCTCCCTTCCGTTCTCCTTCCTCTTCCCTGTGTAACACCCCTAATGAAAGAAGACTCCGAGGCTTGAATTTCCTCAAAGTTCCATTTTATTAGAGATGTCATATTGGCACAAAACCCAAATCTGAAAGTTTCCAGGTTTTCCCCACCCAAAAGGAAGTCCAAGTCCCTGCCCAGCACTCACATGTCCATCACATGGTCCAATCAGGCATCATCCAAAACTGGAGATGTCTCCCAGTCACCTCATCGAAGCTGCAGGGCAAGACAGCCTTGACTTTCTGAGAAGAATGTTATTTTGACTATATATCACCCACACTCCATATAATCCCCCCTTCCCAATTTCCCACAGTAGAAAATGTGGCAGGCCTGAAGGCTCAAATGTAAAAATGGCTTCCAGGTATTACACCCTGTAGGTATCAAAATGAGCTCCTCTGGAAAGTTTCTGGAAAGTGAAATTCCATCTCCTTCACCAAACCTTGAACTTTTCAGAAAAAGTAAGGATGGGAAATGACTTGGCTGAGTGCTTTGAAAGCATTCTGGAGCGTAAAGTGCTATCCTCAGCATATTCTTGGGAATAATAACAGTATAGTAGATTTGGAGCAACTGTCCCTTCTCGTGGTCACTCATGCCTTGTCCCCAGATTACCGTAATGTCCTCTACCTGGGGTTGCCCTTGAAGACCACTCAGAACAATCCAACTGACACAGAAGAGCACCAGAGTGGGCTGTTAGAATTGTGCCTTGGTACTGCACTTTTGAGTTTCTGGCTACAACTTTAGGAGCTGGTTGTCCCCCCAAAATGTTTCATGGCACAAGGTCTGGATAGCTGAGAACTAGCCTTTCTATCATTGTTTTTGACTCTCCCATAAGATCTGATAAAGTGGATTCACTTTGCATTCCCTCAATCTAACAATGCCATCTGATGGAGCCTAAGAAGTAGACCTTTTGTCGTGATACCTGCCCTCTGCAATAGCATCCACCTAGAACAGTGCTTTTCAATCTTCGCAACTGTAAGAAGGGTGGACTTCAACTCCCAGAATTCCTTAACCAGCAGGCTAGCAAAAAGATGGCAGGAGGCCTGTGCTTTTGAATCAAAGACACCAAAATAGAGGATGATACTGTATTATCCTGCTTATCAGTTTCCCAGAGACATCTGTCTGGTTACTGCAGAAATATGAACTGCTCTGATTTTACAGAGAAGATGTTTTTTTTAAAGGAGCACAGAGTAATCAAAAACCACTAACACTTCCTCCATCTTTTTCTACCCTACAGCAGAGAGACAAAAGACTGTGTAGCAATTAAAACCAGAAGATAAATCCACATGCAGACTTACAAATCAAGATGCTGAATTTTTATAAAGCCAAACCCTTGATCCATCTAGCTTAGCACTCTCAACACTGTTTTCCCAATACAGTTTTAGATCATTGTCCTCAATCTGGGACATTTTCCATGCAAACTGTGAAGTCCACTATTAAATTACAGCCCTCCCACATTTCTTGCTTTTAAGCATGAAGCTGGAGAAGGGAACAGGAATTTATCCCATATCATGCAGAGCTGCTGCCTGAAGTCCAGCCCCTACAACTGTGGACACTTGGCCAATGTTAATCAAAAGCATTTTGTTCTGACCTAGGCCTCCCAAGAGCATGAAGCAATCTGCTTGTCCCGACAAAAAACCCTTTTATTAATTTACTGTGAATTCTGCTCATCCACATCCAGCAAAGTCATTCAAGGGAGGAATTACAGTCACAGACCTTATCTGGCTTGGAGAGCTGACAGGCTGATATCTGCAAAACCTGAATTCTGCTCATACACAGCCAGCAAAGTCTTTCAAAGGAGGATTTATGTTCACACACCTTATCTGGCTTGGAGAGCTGCCAGGTTGATATCTGCAGAACTTGGCAAGAAGTCTCGGAGAGTCACTAACCAGTTAGCAAGCTAATTGTATCCTGCAAACTCCACTCCCCTTCTGCTCCTCTTTTATTTCCTCTGGGAGGGGCCATTCATCATCCACCTGTGGCCTTACTCCCAAGTCGACCCCTGTTCTTTAGCTGTTCCCTTCATCCGGTGACTCTGTGCATTAGCACACTGGGAACAGGCTCCAGCTGTTCATCTGCCTCACTGATCTCTGACACTGAAGGCAGATGATAATTGACATATGGCCCTGGCCCTCTCTCTGCCTCCGACACAGAGCCCTCATCAGAGCCTTCTTGAGACTCCAGGA